TTTATGATATTACACCACACCCACCTTTCTTTTCATTTTTCTCTCCAACTTCCACATGAGAGAGAACATATGACCCTTGACCATCCAGGTTTGACTAATTTTGCTTAACATAATAGTTTCAAGTTCTATCCATTTCCTGAAAATGACATGATTTCATTTTTCTTTATGGCTGAATGAAACTCCATTGTGTACCTTTACTACATTTTCTTTATTCATTCATCCATTGATGGACGTCTAGGCTGGTTCCGTAGTTTGGCTATTGTGGATTGTGCTGCTATAAATATGGGTATGCTTGCATCACTATGGTATGATGACTTTAATTTTGTTTTTGTTTTTGTACCAGGGGTGCTTAATCACTGAGCCACATTCCCAGCCCTTTCTGATTTTTGTTTTGAGACAGGATCTGACTCAGTTGCTTAGGGCCTCCCTAAGGTGCTGAGGCAGACCTTGAATTTTTGATCTTCCGGCCCCAGCCTCCTGAACCACTGGGATTATAAGCATGTACTACTGCACCTGGCATGTCTTTAATTCTTTAGGATAAGTACAAAAGAATGGTATAGCTGAGTTTTTTGAGGAGCCTCCATACTGATTTCATTAGTGGTTGTACTAATTCACAATCCCACCAATAGTGTAAAAGTGTTCCTTTCTCCACATCCTCTCCAGCATTTACTATTTGTATTCTTGATGACTGGTGTGAGGTGAAATCCCAGTGTAGTTTTGCTTTGTTTTTCCCTAATTGTTAATGATGTTGAACATTTTTTCATATATTTGTTGGCCATTTGTATTTCTTCTTTTGAGAAGTATCTGTTTAGTTTATTTGTCCATTTTTAACTGAGTTATTTGAGGGTTTTTTTTGCATTGTTTTTGAGTTCTTCATATATTCTAGATATTAATCCTCTGTCAGGAGAGTAGCTAGTGAAGATTTTTCTGCCATTCTGTTGTTTCTCTCTTCACATTCCTAATTGTCCCCTTTGCTGTGCAGAAGCTTTTTAATTTGGTGCCATCCCATTTATTAACTCTTGGCATTATTTCCTGAGCTTTAGAGGTCCTATTGAGAAAGTTGTTGCTTGTGCCTGTGTTGACCCTACATTTTCTTCTCGTCTAAATACTAGGTCTTTAATCCATCTTGAGTTGATTTTTGTGTGGGATGAGACACTGGGCCTAGTTTCATTCTTTTGCATATGGATTTCCAGTTTTCCCAGCACCATTTTTTAAAAAGGCTATCTTTTTTCCAGTACATGTTTTCAGCATCTTTTTCAAGGATTAGATGACTATATCTGCGTGGGTTTGTCTCTGTGTCTTTTATTCTGTAGCCTTGGTCTGTGTGTCTGTTTTAATGCCTGTACCATGCAGTTTTTGTTACTATAGCTCTGTAGTATAATTTGAAGTCAATTATTGTGATGGCTTCCAGCATTGTTGTTTGTTTGTTTGTTTTTGCTTAGAATTGCTTTGGCTATTTTTCAAATGATTTTTAGGACTGTTTTTTTCTAATTCTGTGAAGAATGTCATTGGTCTTTTGAGGGAGATTACATGTAATCTCTGTGTTACTTTTGGTAGTATGACCATTTTAACAATATTAATTTTGCCTATCTATGAACATGGGAAGTCTTTCCATCTTCTTGTATCTTCTTCATTTTCTTTCTTCAGTGTTCTGTAGTTTTCATTGAAGACATTTTTTCATGTCCTTAGCTATTTCTACGTTTTTTTTTTTTTCCTGGATTTTTTTCTCAGCAGATTCATTATTGGTACATAGGAAAGTTGTTGATTTTGTAACCTTCTACTTTGCTGAATTTGTTTATTAGCTCTAGCAGTCTTTTGATTGAACTTTTTGGATCTTCTAAGAATAGGATCATGTTATCTGCAAACAGTGATAATTTGATTTCTTCCTTTCCTATTTTTATCCCTTTGTTCCCTTCTCTTGCTGGATTGCTCTCGCTAGAATTCCTTGTACTATATTCAATAGGAGTGGTAAGAGTGAACGTCTTTGTCGTGTTGAACACATCTCAAGAGATGGCAAAAAAATCCCCTGAAATTTTAATTTATTTAGCATTAGTTAATTTAAATTTAAATAACCACATTAACTACCATGTTGGAGTATGTAGATCAATGTAAGAATGAGGACTGTATTTGATTTATTTTTCCCTTGTTATAAGAGTAAACTAATTTATGTTGGCGTTTGGTAAAAAACAGTCTATTTATTAACCATATTGTTTATAAAAGCACATGCTTTGTGTTTGAAATTGAAGTTGCCTTGTAATGGTTAATATGAAACTAGAATTAGATAACTTGAATTTTTATGCTTTTCTGAAGCTGGTTAAAAATGAGTTTAAAAAGCTGAAATAACAGAGCTAAAAATTCAAAATTTAATATAAAATTCTACAAGTATCAATATTCATGTTCAAGTAGAAATAAAACAAGGAATGTTAGTCAAAAGTCTTGCTTTCAGTAGCTCAAGGACAAGAAAATCTCTGTTATAGAAACAGGGTAGCCTTAATCACTACTGGGCAGGTACCATATTTACATACAGTTTTCTTTTCTTTTTTCTTTTTTTCTGGTGTTGGGATTGAGCCTAGAGCATCATAACACTGAATTTTACCCACAATCCTCATCTTGTTGTTTTTTGAGTGAGCTCTTGTTGACTGGTCTTAGACTTGTCAGTGATTAGGCTACAGATCTAGTTCATTTTGGATTCCTTGGGTATTTTGTTTATATTCATAGCCAAGCACTACACTGGGAACTTTAGAAATAAGTTGAGAACTTTTATTTCCAATCTGCAAGTTTCCTTCTGCGCTGCTGTTCTCATGATGTCTGGATACTGAGACAGCTAATTTTGGTGCTACCTGGAATACAAGTTTCAAAATATTACCTACTTGCCTAACACACATAACATAAATACACAAGTTTAGTATTCTTTACTTACCTAAGGCAAATGGCTATTGGCAGTTTTGATATAATATAATGACATATTTATGATAGTGGAATCTGAGTGGCATAAAAACTTAAAATGACTCCCCCAAAATAAGGGTGTTTTGGGGATGGAGTTTTGCAAACTTTTTGGAATTTAGTAAATGTGTGGTCTGAGCTAAATTGAATTTAGTGCATTAATAAGCAAACTATTCATTATGAAGACTCCCTTCTTGAAGTTTTGTATCACATGTAGAGCATTCTTCTAAGTATATAAGATAAAAAAGTTCAATCCTTGACAGAAAGTCTTATGTTGTAGTTGATCAGAGAGGGCTTGCATTTAAAATCCTTCACAATATGTGGTATCATGTATACTGGGCTGAAAGGATGAGGGCTTTGAGCAGAGGGTAGTTCATATTTCTTAGGGGAAATTGGAAAGGCTTTGTGGAGAAGGTTGGATTTGAGGGAGCTGGAGGATTGCAGAAAGACAAAAGGACAACATTCTAGGCAAGGAAACCAATGTGAACAGAGGCTTATGTTAAGAATATGCATGGAATATTTAGAAATAAGGAATGGATATGCATGTTGAAATAAAGGTTCCATTCTAGAACCTGGAAGCTAGAAGCATGCTCTTTAGGACTTTGATTGGTGGGACAAATGATAATAATTATTATTGTTTTAAATATTTTTTTGGTTGTAGATGGACACAATGCATTTATTTATTTATTTATTTATTTATTTGTTTGTTTATTGTGGTGCTGAGGAACGAATCCAGTACCTCACACTAGGCAGGCACTCTACTACTGAGCCACAACCTCAGCCCCCAAAGAATTTTTCTTAAGGTGGTAAGGAGTCAGTCAGCATTTTTGAGTAGTGGGAGGATATGTGAGAAGTGAAATTTTTATAAAGATTGATTTCTGTGGTGAAATACAGGATGATAGAGAGAGGGAGAGAGGATTGCAACAGTACAGTCATTAAGATGATCTGTTCTTCTGTTGCTGAAGTTGTTCTGACTTCTTCTTTCTTTTTGGTACTAGGGATTGAACCCAGGGGTGCTTTACTGCTGAGCAATATTCCCCAGTCCTTTTAAAATTTTTGAAGTATTTGAAACAGGGTCTCACTAAGTTGCTGAGACTGTCCTCAAACTTGTCATTCTCCTGCCTCAGCCTCTTGAGTTGCTGAGATTACAGGTGAATGCCTTGTGCCCAGCTTTATCTGACTTCAGTTATTGTGGGAACTGAAGGGAAGGGAGGAATTAGAGTAGTAACGTTTACTTGATTAATAAGAATTAAATTAATATTTATTTTCTTGCCTTATGTGTTTGAGAGGTTTCATGCCTGAGTTAGAAGCAAAATGTTTTTTAGTCTTCAGGGCTGTTTTAAAGGAAAGATGGGTTTTGGATATTCTGAGTTTTAGATATTAGGAGGCCTGTAGATGGTAGGTCCAGCAGGTAGCTGAAGATGGAAAAAGATTGATGCTGATCTCAAATGGAAGAGATGCCTCTTTTCCTTTGGGTTACCAGATGGATTCATGATAATGCATAAGAGAAGTTCTACAGATTGAGTACTGTTTCCTGGGGATGTAAGGAGATGGAGAAAGAGAGAGGCACCAGAGTGTCTTATAGTAGAAAATTCAAGAAGAAAATGAAAACAGAAAACCATTGGGTTTAAGATACCTGAGAATTGAAAGTATTTAAATGGAATAGTTGGAATCAGAACCCAGAGTACACAAGCTTTATGGCAAAGTAGGTAATAAAGAAATAAAACCAGTATGTGTGTAGGCTGTGTGCATGTTATATTCATGTTGGCTATTTCCTTGCCTGCATTTCAGTTATTTTACTTAGATGGCATAGCAGGAGGATAAAAGGAAGTGGAACTCAAAACTGTTGTACAAGTTTTCTATTAAGAGACTTGTTAGAACAACTAGAGTAGGGTAAAACCATTAGTTACCTGGATAATCAAGAGTTAGATTAGTTACATAATGATCCTTCTTCCTGAAGTTAATTGAAATCTGATTTGAAATTTAATAAAATTAAAAGTGAGCACTGATGTTACTGAAAATTATTCTAAATACTATATATATATTTTATATCTCAGTTTCTATGCAGATTTTGGGCCTCTGAACTTGGCAATGGTGTACAGATACTGCTGTAAACTGAACAAGAAACTAAAAGTGAGTATCATAGTGGTAATTTATATTTTGATATTAAAATGTTTGAACCAGGAAATCTACCTGGTGGGATTGCTGCATGCACATCATCTAGTTAGGTAATTTGGGTCTTTGGAAATTTATGTAAGTTCACCTCGAAGTTGAAATCGATTCTTTTGATTATACCACAAAGGACATGTTAACCTCTTTCATTTTTCAGGATGAGCTGCAATATGAGCTGGATTAAGTCATTGGAATAATGATCCAGGAAAGAAAGCACAAATCCTTTTTAGGTTGTTAATGAGTCTCTATCAAATTCCTTCCTAGGTTAATTTTTCTGAAACCTTTGGATCTGCTTTTGTAGACACTGTTACCAGGTGATGAAGGGACTCATCATGATTGGACCTTTGGAGCATGACCATTTTCTCTCTTGTTGAGGCTGAAATTTTTGTGTATTTCTGTAGAGTCAAGAGCCAAGTGAGATAGATGAACTGGCAGTGAGAGAACATTACCTGATATGAGAACTTTACCTGATATGAGAGAATTCAGGCCAGACATTCTGTATTCACCTATAGTGGTTTGTTTTTTATTTATTTTTTCAGTGCTGAGGATCGGACCCAGGGTCTCATGCACACTAGGCAAGTGCTCTACTACTGAGCTATATCCCCAGCCGTCATGTATTGTTTTGGTTTTACATGAGGATCTGGTTCATTTTTCTATACTTACATGTATCTGTTAGAAGGTAGCTTTTTGTTTTTTCTTACACTCTGAGCATATAAAGAAAAGTTATATATAATTTATAAGTATATATATACTTATAAATAAATAAATAAATATATTTATAAATATAAATTTATATTTCTAGATTTGGTGAAGTTATCACATATAAAGCCATATTTATCTTTTTCTTCCAATTATTAAGTGAACATCTTAAATATTCATTTTGGGAGACAGAATATTACACAGCTTAATCTTAAGATAACTACAAAATTATAATCCTCAGCCATTTTAGTATTTCTGTTAGGTAAAATGTTGCTGTTACATGGTGCTGTGTCTTGTACATATTAACTACTCAGTAATTATCTTTCCATTTTTTTTTATTGAATTTAGGTATAAAATGCTGTCTGATAAAGAATATCCTGTAGATTGTGTTCTGTATTTATGAATTTACAGATTTTTGCCATTGATCTTAAGGTGCTAAATGGTCATAGAATGATACCAAAGAGATTTTTTTAAAAGAAGTTAATAATTACATAACATGAAATCTATTATATGCAGCTCTTTCAGAAACTAACTTATAAAGTAGTGTCTGACTTGAAAATGTATTTGTAAATGCCTTTAACTAGATCTGTGCTTTTCAGGAAAGAAGCTACTGTCTTCAGTTTAGAAAATAGAATATAAAATTTGTATTTTCCCAATCATCAAGGAAGTAAATAATATCCTTCTTACATAAAATGAACTTTAAATGGTTGAACCAATAGGGAAAGGGTAATTAATAAATAATTGAAGTTCGTGCTTTTCTTTTAAGGACATAGTAATTTCTTGATAAATCATGTTAAAATGTAGTTGGTATGAACCAGGTATTATAATCAACAACCTGGGACCCAAGTACTATATGGAGATGCCAAAGAGAAAGAAATAATTGTTATGAAAATAAAACCATTGGTCTGATGTACTGGTCTCCTTATAGAAATTGCACAAGAATAGAGGGAAAGAATTAAGTAGAGGGATTGATTATTTTTTTTTCTACCGCATTTATACATAGTTTTTTTTTTTTTTTTTGGTATTGGGAATTGAACCTGGGGGTGCTGCACCACTGAGCCACATCCCATTTTTAAAATTTTTTTATTTTTCATTTTGAGACAGGATTTCACTCAGTTGCATAGGGCCTCCCTAAATTGCTGAGGTAGACCTTGAACTTGAAATCCTCTTGCCTTGGCCTCCCTGGTTTCTGGGATTACAGGTGTTCACCACCAATCCCAGTTTAAAGGCTTGGTTTAATTTGCTTTCATTTACAAAGCTTTCTTCCAACACTATGAAAATTTAGTGAATCTAGATAGGCCCCTCAGTTCATTTCAGTGATCGGATCATTGGCTGGTTGCCCAGAATGACATTTTTAGCTTTAGGACAATTAATGGGTAGCCTAGTAATTTCTGAACCAAATATTAGTAAGTCTTGGGTTTTCTCAGTGAACCAAATAGCCAAACAGAATCTTTGTAGTAAGAGAAAAAGATTTAGTTTATCAATCTAAAGTTGTTGCTTCAGCCTTATTGGAATTTCAGTTTTTTCAATGGTAAAATAGGAATTCTCTCACAGGATTATATTAGAGATACATGTGAAAGAGCTTTGTAAATTTTAAGACCAAGATCCTATACCAAATAAAGTTAGTAATATAACATTTGTGAATTCTTTTGTAGTAAATGCAATACCTCGTTTCTTCCATGAAATTTAGGAAGACTCTCCTCTGATCCTTAGTGCCATCATTTCTAAATGGGAAAGCTGGCCACTGTAATTTTGGGAATTGAAATGACTGTTTAGTCAAGACTCAGAATGGGAGTCCTAGGAGAGGTGTGTCAACTTGCCCAAAGCTGCAAGGTGAGGTCAGGGCTTGATTTTATGTCTCTTGATTACATACTTCACATTCTTCTTTCTGCCTTTTGGGCAATCATAGCCTCTGGTCTACAATTTCACGTGCTCATTGTTCCTACTACTTTGCCTTGTGTTCTTCGAGGATCCCCTGCCTTTTCCTGTTCAGTGGCTGTTACTGCCATTCTGGCTCTTTCATTTCCAGGAACCCAGATTCCAGGCTCTCCCATTTGGAATGTACCCTTCTTGTTACATGCCTGGCTGACCTGTCTCTCACCTTGCTGGGAACTCTAGACCCTGTATCCTCTCAGTCCATAGATACCCTGCTGTTGTCTCTTGACAACAGCTCATGGTTCCTCAGTTTGGCAGGCCCCAGGCACCTTGCCTCTGTACCTTTTGCCCTGTTTGCCTTTCCAGCTCCACCCTTCATGTCTTCCCAGCAGATGATTTCAGTCACTAAATTAGCAATAACTATGGTACTCCTGCCACTCCCAGCCTTGTACTTTTCCTTGTACCACACAGTTGTTCCATGCATTTTTTTATGACGCCCTGTCTGACCAGAGTGCCCTTTCCCTCTGACTTGATAGCTTCTTGCTCCTTAAGACCTTGCTCAGGCGCCACCCTCTAGGAAGCATCTCCTTGCCCTCCTTGATTGGAACGGAGAAAGCTCCCTTGTGTTCCCATACTCCTCTGGGCAGACCTCATGATGTCTTACAATTATCTACCTCCACCTGTCTTTCTCACTAGGCTGTGAGTCCCTAGAGGATGAGGGCATGCCTTATATCTTTGTACCCAGTGCCCAGTACAGAGTTACCAGATTCACAGAAGTTTCTGTTGACTTTGTCATGATTCCCTTCGTTTGCAGAATGCCTGTTATCCTTTGGCCTGCAGAGGTTTCAGAATACCTTGTCCTCCGCATGTGTGCCTCCTCCCTATGCACTGATTTCTTAATCTTCTGCTATTTAGCTTCTCCCTTCCTACTCTACTGAAACGGCTCTATTTACATCTTTTTAAAATTTATTTATTCTAATTTGTTATATATGATAGCAGAATGCATTTCAATTCATATTACACATATAGAGCACAATTTTTCATGTCTCTGGTTGGACACAAAGTAGAGTCATACCATTCGTGTCTTCAGACATGTATTTAGGGTTCTATTTACATCTTAAACACAGAATCTGATGTAAATTGCTTGATCCTCAGACTTCTTTACTACACTCTGAATAATCTGGCATTTTATTTTAGCCAATAACATTATCTTGGAATTTTTCTCCTATATAATTTTTCTAATTTCTTTTGGCACCTTTTATTTTCTACTTGGCACATTTTTATTCCTTCTGGTAAAACTGCTATGATTTTTCTCTTATTCAATGCCATATATAGGTAGGTATTATTTTGCTGTGAATTCTATTCCAAACTCAACTTTTTCATTTCTTAAATGTCAGAAGGTATGTTTTCGGGTTGAGGATTTGAGGGAGTGATTGTTGACTTTTTTTGAGGGGAGGAGTGTCAATGTGCATTACGTTTCCACTGGCCTGAGTTGTAATTGGTTGATTGGAATGGAAAATTATCCATCAAACATCTGCTTAGATTAAAAATCCAAAAACAAAAACCATCATCACCAACAAAAAAATCTTGCTGCTTATTTTAAACTATACTTAAAAAAATTGTTCGTACTCAGAGTTATGCAATAATAGTTTTCTTTTCTATTTGTAGTCAATAGTTACCACGATGAAGGAAGCAATCAAACGAGAGAAGATTTATTGAAATGAGAACAGTTTGCAAAACTGTTTATGTTATTTAGTGTAAAATGTCATTGATGATTGATAAGCTAGAACTGGAATTATTAATCTGGTATTTCAAGGGATTCTTAAACCCTGAAATTACATGTACACTTTTGTGTGTGTTTACTTTTTTCTTCTGGGATGATTCATAGCTTTTTATCAGGTTCTCAAAGAAATCCTTGACACAGACAATGCTAACACTGAGCCAGAATATAAGGGCTTTAAAAAGAGAAGGCTATACCAACAAGACAAAAATTATGGTATTTTAAAAAACAGAATACCTTCTCCACACTTAATCAGTTAAAAACATCTTACAGTTACTAATTTAATAATCTGAAAGTTTTATAACTATGTTATGATTGGACTGGCTTTTCCTAAAATAGTCAATACAATTTTAATTATTGATTTCACTTTTTTCCTGAGAATTTAAAATCCCAGCTGAGGGGAAAATTTTTCAGAAAAAAGGGGACATTTTCAAATTGGGGTTTGTAGTTTAGTGGTAAGGCAATTGCCTAGCATATGTGAAGTACTGGGTTCAATACTCTGCACCACATAAAAATAAATAAATAAATAAAATAAAGGTATTGTGCCTATTTATAACTAAAAAAATATATTTAAAAGAAAGGGAACATTTCTTAGGACAGTGATTTT